AAAAAAGAGGAAGCCCTCACTTGCCAGGCAGGAGGAGTGTCCAGTTAAGGTCCTAGGACGGACCCTGATGACCCTCGGGAGTCTCTCTATGAAGATGGCACATCCCTGGAGACATAGGGAGGGCCCTGATCCCGTCCACCAAACCTCGGGGCCAGCAGCACTGCGCCCTCCCTACCGTCCTCTCAGAGACCCTCTTCTCCAAGGCCTCAGAGCATCCATTCCAGAGCCGCGGTCAGTGGGGGCCCAGGCTGTTCTCAGGGGAGTCTCTGGTTCTATCCCGGGGCATGCCCAACTCCACCCTACGTCTCCTGTAAATAAGGAAAAGCAGCGGACCTTGGAATAGAGACCCTCGTCAACAACATCGCGAAGAGGTTCTTACCACCCCACTCCCAAGGAGTCCCTTCCTGCTCCAAGGTATTAAAACACCAGGTTAGGGATTTCCCTGGTGGTCCAGTGGTAAAGACCGCCTTCCACTTCAGGGGACATGGGTTTCATTCCTGGTCAAGGAACTAAGACCCCACATGCTATGCCGTGCAGCCAAAAACATCTAATAAGACTCAAGGTGAGACCACCTCCCCACGTGGCCACCTCGGGGGACGCTACCTAATCTGATTACGTGGACCATCCCTCTTATTCCTGGAACTTCCCTGGAGCTAGAGCTCTGGATATAACTGTTCCCAAGTGACCTTGTCTCTCTCAAGACTGTCTTACTTTTACTTCTTGTCCGTGTTGTGTACAAACATGTATCACTGTATTTACTCAATACATGTTTATTCTACCATATAAATGCATCCACTCTGGGGAGACAGAGAAACACACAAACCAGATGAATTTCAACCAATGTTGATAAACCACTTCCGATCAAGAACTGAGTCAAATTTCAGTGACATCAAGTTGAAATGAATGTCCGTGAATCCTGCCATGTGGTCCCTAGACACAGGCCAGATGCACTCAGAGACTCCGGGGGACACGAAGAAAGCCTTCCATAGATAAGTCTCCCCCTTCCCCAACCCCCAGGAGGAAACACCAGCGCCATCAGCCTCACGGCTACCCTGAAAAAGTCATTCTCTTAGCCCCAAACATGCCGTGTAATGGGGCATGTTTATGTAGTCAGTGTAATATGCAGTAATATTCACACTTCAGGTGTCCAGAAACGACCTTTTGCCTTTGTGTTTTCTGAGACAAACATCAGTCTTTTATTTATAAATGGTATCCTAGACCCTGACTTTGTTGATGCAGAGGGAAACTGCTGCATAGTAATTTGACATTAGTAAGAAGTTTTGAATGATGGAAGGAGCCAAGTAGCCTGAAAAGGCAGGCAAACCCCACCCGCAGCCACACCAGACACTTTGCTAATCTTCCAGAGTGACGCCCCAGCATGCTACCCACAGCACATCACTAATCCTTCACCCAGTTTGTTGAAAAACAAAAACAACATCTTGAGCCAGTAGTGGCAACTGAAGTGTGAGTGAGGAAAGCCCTCACGTTCACACGACGGTCATGGGGGCGCCAGACCTCTGCCTGCTCGCCCCGGCGCCCTGTCTCTTGGCAGAGAGAATTAAACCCCAGAGACCAGTTTCCACATGAGGAGTTTCCATCGATTCTAGAGCCCTGTCCTGGCCCTTCCAGAAAGGTTGTAGTAAAAGAAACTAATTCCTTCTGTTTCACAACTAAAATGTCTCGGTGCATCTGGCCATTCCTGTGATGCAGGAGGCTGGGAAAGGGACACGGTGTGGAATCAGGCTGGAGAGCCTCTCCTTGGTGAGACAGATGCCTTCTGAGCACAACTTTGACCAACCTGGAAGATGCAGCAAGGGGCCAGTGAGGCTGCAGGGCCTCGTGGACCTGCCGGGGTCAGCTTCTCGGGTGAGAGGCGCGGGGCTGTGTGTGAGCGTGGTCACGTTGGGTGAGAGGCGCGGGGCTGTGTGTGAGCGTGGTCACGTTGGGTGAGAGGCGCGGGGCTGTGTGTGAGCGTGGTCACGTTGTGTGAGAGGCGCGGGGCGGTGTGTGAGCGTGGTCACATTGGGTGAGAGGCGCGGGGCTCTGTGTGAGTGTGGTCACGTTGGGTGAGAGGCGCGGGGTTGTGAGTGTGGTCACGTTGGGTGAGAGGCGCGGGGCTGTGTGTGAGCGTGGTCACGTTGGGTGAGAGGCGCGGGGCGGTGTGTGAGTGTGGTCACGTTGGGTGAGAGGCGCGGGGTTGTGAGTGTGGTCACGTTGGGTGAGAGGCGCGGGGCTGTGTGTGAGCGTGGTCACGTTGGGTGAGAGGCGCGGGGCGGTGTGTGAGTGTGGTCACGTTGGGTGAGAGGCGCGGGGCGGTGTGTGAGCGTGGTCACGTTGGGTGAGAGGCGCGGGGCTGTGAGTGTGGTCACGTTGGGTGAGAGGCGTGGGGTTGTGAGTGTGGTCACGTTGGGTGAGAGGCGCGGGGCTGTGTGTGAGCGTGGTCACGTTGGGTGAGAGGCGCGGGGCGGTGTGTGAGCGTGGTCACGTTGGGTGAGAGGCGCGGGGCGGTGTGTGAGTGTGGTCACGTTGGGTGAGAGGCGCGGGGTTGTGAGTGTGGTCACGTTGGGTGAGAGGCGCGGGGCTGTGTGTGAGCGTGGTCACGTTGGGTGAGAGGCGCGGGGCGGTGTGTGAGTGTGGTCACGTTGGGTGAGAGGCGCGGGGCGGTGTGTGAGCGTGGTCACGTTGGGTGAGAGGCGTGGGGCTGTGAGTGTGGTCACGTTGGGTGAGAGGCATGGGGTTGTGAGTGTGGTCACGTTGGGTGAGAGGCGCGGGGCTGTGTGTGAGCGTGGTCACGTTGGGTGAGAGGCGCGGGGCGGTGTGTGAGTGTGGTCACGTTGGGTGAGAGGCGCGGGGTTGTGAGTGTGGTCACGTTGGGTGAGAGGCGCGGGGCTGTGTGTGAGCGTGGTCACGTTGGGTGAGAGGCGCGGGGCGGTGTGTGAGCGTGGTCACATTGGGTGAGAGGCGCGGGGCTCTGTGTGAGTGTGGTCACGTTGGGTGAGAGGCGCGGGGTTGTGAGTGTGGTCACGTTGGGTGAGAGGCGCGGGGCTGTGTGTGAGCGTGGTCACGTTGGGTGAGAGGCGCGGGGCGGTGTGTGAGCGTGGTCACGTTGGGTGAGAGGCGCGGGGCGGTGTGTGAGCATGGTCACGTTGGGTGAGAGGCGCGGTGTTGTGAGTGTGGTCACGTTGGGTGAGAGGCGCGGGGCTGTGTGTGAGCGTGGTCACGTTGGGTGAGAGGCGCGGGGCGGTGTGTGAGCGTGGTCACGTTGGGTGAGAGGCGCGGGGCTGTGAGTGTGGTCACGTTGGGTGAGAAGCGTGGGGTTGTGAGTGTGGTCACGTTGGGTGAGAGGCGTGGGGTTGTGAGTGTGGTCACGTTGCGTGAGAGGCGTGGGGTTGTGAGCGTGGTCACGTTGGGGGAGAGGCGTGGGGTTGTGAGTGTGGTCACGTTGGGTGAGAAGCGTGGGGTTGTGAGTGTGGTCACGTTGGGGGAGAGGCGCGGGGCTGTGTGTGAGCGTGGTCACGTTGGGTGAGAGGCGTGGGGCTGTGAGTGTGGTCACGTTGGGTGAGAGGCGTGGGGTTGTGAGTGTGGTCACGTTGGGGGAGAGGCGTGGGGTTGTGAGTGTGGTCACGTTGGGTGAGAGGCGTGGGGTTGTGAGTGTGGTCACGTTGGGTGAGAAGCGTGGGGTTGTGAGTGTGGTCACGTTGGGTGAGAGGCGTGGGGCTGTGAGTGTGGTCACGTTGGGTGAGAGGCGTGGGGTTGTGAGTGTGGTCACGTTGGGGGAGAGGCGCGGGGCTGTGTGTGAGCGTGGTCACGTTGGGTGAGAGGCGTGGGGTTGTGAGTGTGGTCACGTTGGGGGAGAGGCGTGGGGTTGTGAGTGTGGTCACGTTGGGGGAGAGGCGTGGGGTTGTGAGTGTGGTCACGTTGGGTGAGAGGCGTGGGGCTGTGAGTGTGGTCACGTTGGGTGAGAGGCGTGGGGTTGTGAGTGTGGTCACGTTGGGTGAGAGGCGCGGGGCCGTGTGTGAGCGTGGTCACGTTGGGTGAGAGGCGCGGGGCGGTGTGTGAGCGTGGTCACGTTGGGTGAGAGGCGCGGTGTTGTGAGTGTGGTCACGTTGGGTGAGAGGCGCGGGGCTGTGTGTGAGCGTGGTCACGTTGGGTGAGAGGCGCGGGGCTGTGTGTGAGCGTGGTCACGTTGGGGGAGAGGCGCGGGGCGGTGTGTGAGCGTGGTCACGTTGGGTGAGAGGCGCGGGGCCGTGTGTGAGCGTGGTCACGTTGGGTGAGAGGCGCGGGGCGGTGTGTGAGCATGGTCACGTTGGGTGAGAGGCGCGGGGCTGTGTGTGAGTGTGGTCACGTTGGGGGAGAGGCGCGGGGCTGTGTGTGAGCGTGGTCACGTTGGGTGAGAGGCGCGGGGCGGTGTGTGAGCATGGTCACGTTGGGTGAGAGGCGCGGGGCTGTGTGTGAGTGTGGTCACGTTGGGGGAGAGGCGCGGGGCTGTGTGTGAGCGTGGTCACGTTGGGGGAGAGGCGCGGGGCTGTGTGTGAGCGTGGTCACGTTGGGGGAGAGGCGCGGGGCTGTGTGTGAGTGTGGTCACGTTGGGGGAGAGGCGTGGGGTTGTGAGTGAGCGTGGTCACGTTGGGTGAGAGGCGCGGGGCTGTGTGTGAGCGTGGTCACGTTGGGTGAGAGGCGCGGGGCTGTGTGTGAGCGTGGTCACGTTGGGGGAGAGGCGCGGGGCTGTGTGTGAGTGTGGTCACGTTGGGTGAGAGGCGCGGGGCGGTGTGTGAGTGTGGACATGTTGGTGTGGGTGTGGTCACACCCTCAGTGTATCTGACCCCCCACCGCCCTCCCTGCCTTCTTGCTGCTTTCCTTCAACAGGTGAAAGTGCCACCTGGAGGAAGCCCTCTCACCCGGTTCGCATGAGGGCGTCCTGACAGCTGACAGATGTGCCCCCTGGGGGAGGACGGGTAGGAACGGTCACCAGACCGGACCCTCCTCACACCGCCCTGCAGAAAACCCGGAGGAAACCAGGCCTGACCGGACCCTCCTCATGCCGCCCCACACCAAACCCAGAGAAAACCAGGCCCAGGGCCCGGAACAGCTGCTCACCAGGGAGGCGAGGGTGCGAACGCCCTGCTGCGTCTCCCACTCAGCTCGGGAGGAGCTGGCCGGCCGTTGGCTGAGTTTTGAGGACAGAAAGAACATGCTCAGGCCACATAATCACAGCACCGCGTGATTTAACAAAGCTAACGAAGCTGGAATCACTGTTGTTCAGGACCTCAGATGTTTCTTAGCGCCTACGTTTTCTCCCTCTAGAAACCACCACAGCACATCTAGAAACTTCTACCGTCATGGAGATGCGTGTAAGAAGATGACAGTCCTCTGACCAAGCAAAACCCCTGAAAAAGTGACTCCTCCATCCTTCAAATACCACGTGGTAAGTGCTAAGACTCATTCTTCACGGTTTTCCTTCCAAAACTGACGTGTCAGGGAGGAGTGCGCCCTCCACCCAGGGAGGAGGAGGTCCCGCCAGAGGCAAGATGAGGTCAAGGCCTCGCCCTTCTGGCCCGGGTGACAACAGGGCTGAGTCCCATGATAACAGAGAGAAAGCATCCCCCGTGAAATAGAAGTGAAGTCACACAATAATGTGACCCTGCGGCTTCCGGGCATTAAAGTCTTTCCAAACCCTCTCCCATACTCACCGGGAATCATTAGCCAAACCTTGGATCTTTCAAAATCCACTTTTTAATTAAAAGTATCACTGTGTGACGGCCTTGTTAGCAACCAGGATGGTAGGTTACAAGTGGAAAAGTAACCGGTAGAAAGTCAGTGCTTCCAGTAATGAGCAAGTGGAATTTGAAAATAAAAACACATTGCCGCTCACATTAGCATCCAGAAAAGAGAATGTGTTGCTACCCTGTTGACAAGGTATGTATAAGATACACGTGAGGAAACAAGGCTCTGATGGTGAAATCAAACAACATCTAAATACGTGTCTGTGGATAGGGGGACTCGGTAAGGTCCAGTTGTCGGCTCTTTGCAGCTTCATCATCCCAACCAAAACCCCAGCAGGTGACTTTACAGAAACTGACAAACTGACTCTAATGTTTACCTGGAGACGCAAAGCCCCAGAAATCAAAACTTTCGCATTAACCCAAAGAAGAGCTTCTACGGACCCAGAACCTTTCGAGCTGTCAGGAGACAAGACTGCAACCACAGACAGGGAGAGCAAAACAAAGACAGAGGTGCCCTCCCTTAGATCCAGGAAATAAGGCCGAATCCTCAAAGCGCCAGATTCTATTTAGCACCCATAGAAAAAAGGTCGTTAATTGCAGTCTCAGCTACGGACACATACTGTTCTATCCATTTGTTCTAGGTCATCTTTTCACACACATCATTCCAGGCTGCAGAACCTGGATGGTTCGTGCCAGCTGATCCATCTGTCCCCCAGCTAAGTCGCTGCTCCTTCAGCTGATGTTCTGGGTGCCTTTAGTGTATCAGACACTCACCAGGCTCCAAAGCCCAACACTGGGAAGAGGGGCGTGGCCCCAGGTGCAGGGGGTTTGGATTCCTCATATTCAAGGTAGTGGGCGGGAGTGGACACAGACGGTTGCCTGCTCACCTCCCCTGGACCCCAGGCTTCACGTCTGTAAAGTAGGCCTAATATCAGTACTCAGGCCAATGTTATTGCAGAAATGGGAGCTGGTACTTGGAATGATGTTTGCTGTAACACTTGGCCGCTGCTCACAGATGTCACTGCTGTTTATTTACACCACAGTTGCTTTTTCCCAGTACTGTGACCCAGGTCATAATGTCCTATTGAGTCATGATAATCAGCAAAGAAAATATAGAAAGAAAAGTTGTACTGATATGGCTGAACAGACATAATTCAAATACCTTGTTTTAAAAAACTAAATATTTTCATTAAAATTGGTCGATTTTATGAATCAGATGATTTGCAGTTTAATTTTAATCGCTTATTTTCTTAAGAATAAGACTAACAAAACCTACTTTAGAATTGTTTAGTTAAAAACCCAAATGTAACCAAATAATCCAGGAAGTAACGCTCAAAGTAGGAAGAAATAAATTTGCTGTTTCTCAGCATCCTTGAAGGTCTAAGGAAAGGCCCAGCTCAGTCCCTTGTTTTCATGCAAATGAGGAAGGAGGAGGTGGGGTGCTCCGAACCGAATCCCGAATCAGTATACCTGGAACACAGATCCTAGCATTAGCGGCTCCCGAGCCCAAAGCCACGCTTAGGATTTCAGGCTAATGGTCACGGAGCCACCTGCCCAAAACCGTCATCCGCAGTCACGTGAGGTCATCCTCTGGGCTCTCGAAAGCCTCAAATCACCCCAACGTCCTCCATAGGAAGAGGGCGGCACCCACCGCCTTCTCCAGGATCCACTGTCTGCATCACTTCTCCAGGGTTTACCCAGGAGTGATGGGAAAGTGACTGGAAAGCTCCCCGCACAGTTGGGTTTCCATGACACTGTTACAGAAACGATTGCATTCCCACCAAGTCTCTCAATGTGGGAAGCAAGAAGCCCCACTCCCCCACAGTCCCCGCTGCCCCCAACCTCGCTCCCCAGCTCCCCACTACCCGTCCCCCCTCCAGAGCTGCTCCAAGGCTCTGCTCCTGTAGACAAGACGCCCGCCTCTGCCAGGGTCCGGCCCCGACACTGGGAACGAACGCTGCGTGAGCATCCCAGGGTCCACGGAGCCAGGAGCAGCGTCAGAGTTCTGTGCTCTGAGCAAAGGAAGAGGCACTTTTGCACTGCGCCCCAGTACCCCGCCCCCCCGCCTCCCAGCCCCTGCTGACCCCAACACCTGAGACTCCCCAGTGAGCTGGGTCCTCACGCTACTTCCCACCCACCTCTGTGGGCCCCGAGCATGGGAGATGGGCTCGAACCTGTTTCTGCCCTTTCCTGGGTCCAGTACCAGACCTCGAGTCAACAAATGCCAGTGGACTTGATTACACCTACAAGATGAAAAGGAGCCCCCAGGCCACCAGGCCAATGCTGGCCCGAGCTGAGGTCTACCCATGTTACCTCTGACCCCCAAGGTCTCACTCTCGATTCTTCTGGAAAGCAGAGACGCAGAAAGAAACCAACCTCATGGATAAACGTTCTGCATCTGAGCTGGGAGTTCTGAAAAAGAGAAGTCACAAAAACACACCCTCTCTCTGAACTGAAAAAAGAATCAAGCCTTTTCTATCTGTGTGTTAGAAAAACAAGCCCCAGGATATAGCCTGGAGTTAATTCTCTCTCTGTTGGACAACACAGACACTCGCCAGCCTGTGGAAATACAGCAGACTCTGGTGATCAATCCACCCAGCTGATCCTGGAAATGGGGTTGGGAGCCTTGCATAAGATGCTGGGAGGCGTTTTCTCTTGGCTCTCTTTTTAGACAAAGGTGAGTTACAGTAAGGAAAAACATTCTGTCACAACACAGAGGATATTGTTCTAGGAAAAAATGCACAGGTACGACAGCATCATCACATCCAAATTTTGAAATGAGAGTGGGCAAAGTCATGAGGACAAGGGTGGTGTCCTCTGTGCCCTGAGCAGAGACAGCAGTGGGGTGTCCTCCACATCGCCCACGGGTTAGCTGTGACCTGGGGACCGCATCACAGGCTGTGCGACATTCCTGCATCCCGCCCCCAAACATCAGTGTCCGCTGAGCGGATGGACCCGAAACCACCGACATCCTGTCGGTGGAGGACCCACTCCTGTGGGGGGTGGGGGAGTGGCCTCTTTCACTGTGCTCCCTGGGTCTGAGCACAGAAGATGCCCCAAGGGTATTTCAGGGCCTCAGACAGAAGCCTGGAGACACCCTCTTGTTCCACGTCCCCATGGAGGCTGAGGGGCATCGCCTAGTCTAAATCTTGCAAAATTGGGAGAAACCGTTATAGAGTTGGATTCCCAGGTGGTGCTGGTGGCACAGAACCAATCTGCCAAATGCAGGAGATGTAAGAGACGCAATTTCGATATCTGGATTGAAACGATCCCCTGGAGGAGGGCATGGCAACCCACTCCAGTATTCTTCCCTGGAGAATCCCATGGACAGAGGGCTACAGTCCATGGGGTCACAAAGAGTTGGACATGACTGAAGCGACTTAGCACAGTTATAAAAATATAGAAACAAAGTGAATGTTTTTAGAAGGAGGAAAGGAATTTTACAAACCATGAGAAATGTGGAGATGCTGGGCCCTTTCTTCTGAGATCTCTGTAAGTAATGTACCCAAAGCGTCTTCTGGTTGCAAACACCCTGCCCCTGGGGTCCTTGACGATGCCCAGCAGTGGCCAGCTCTCCTGGGGCTGAGTCTCACGTGCCTGCCGTCCTTGGACAGTTTGCTCCGGGTCCTGGGCCACAGCCCGAGCCCTGGGCGGCGCCCTGCACACCCGCCCTCATCCTTGGCCCCTGGAGGGTGGCGGGGTAGGGGGCGCTGGCCTCCTGGGGCCAGTGGTTAGCGCTGTCACAGGTGCCGCCCAAGACACTCACATTAAAGCGCCCCTGAACGGCCAGGAGCACGTGACACTGAGAGGATGCTGGATGACTCAATGCCGGTGTCCACTACGGTCAGAGTCTGGCCTGCGGGGGGGCGATGACAGCGCAGTCATATCTCGCTGCCGTGTGCCTCAGTGAATTGCACCTGCAAATGTTCAGTATATTCTGCTTAGAAAAGGGTTAAAACAAAGCAGGTGGTGCCCGGGGCAGCCTCGATAGATCTGCGGCTGCCAGAGACTCAGCCTCACTGCAGGGTTCGCCCCGATGGCTCGTGGCGGACGGGGTATGTGTGCCCCGAATCTCCCAGCTGGAGCCGCTTCACGGCCGGCAAGCCTCTGTTTTCAGTTCAGGCTGCGTGAGCTGGATCGTGGTACGTGCTGCTTTACCCCTGAGCCTGTGGGACAGCAGCCAAGGAGAATTACTGGGGATTGTTCATGCCTCCTGCGTGCAGAAGAGCGGGAGAGAAAAGGGACAAGTCTGCCTGCTGTGTTCAGGAACTGGGTCGCTTTCTTTTATTCTCATCTGAAGGGAGCTTTTAGACAGAGCAATTAACATACTTCCCACAGGTGTGCAAAGTTTATGTCTTGATTGATGGACTTAAGGTGTTAAAAGAATATCTCTAACGCTGGAAACACCATGGAGCACAAACCACCGCCTCCACCTGGAAAGTCAGTGCTTTTCCTGTGACAGGGCCGACTTCACCCAGAGGGGAGGGAGCATGTGTGTGTGGGGGGGTGCATGTATGTGTGTGCATGTGTGTATGTGTATATGCATGTACGTATGTGTGTATTGTTGTTTAGCTGCTCAGTCGTGTCCAGCTCTTTGGACCCCATGAACTGTAGCCCGCCAGGCTCCTCCGTCCATGGGATTCTCCAGGCAGGAATACTGCAGTGCGTTGCCATGTCCTCCTCCAGGGGATCCTCCTGACCCAGGGATAGAACCTGCGTCTCTTATGTCTCCTGCACTGGCAGGCAGGTTCTTTACCACTAGGGCTGCCTGGGAAGCCATACGTATATATGTCTATATATACATAAAGGTATGTGTGTATGTATGTGCAAATGGGTATGCATGTATGTGTGTTCATAAGTATGTACGTGTGAATGAGTATGTGTATGTATCCATGCATGTGTATGTCTGTGTGTATGTGTATGTGGGTCTATGTGTGTGCATGTGGGTATGTGTGTGTGTATGAGTGTGGATATATATGTCTCTGTATGTACATGTGTATATGTACATGTATAAGTATATGTGTATATGTCTGTGTATGTGTGTATCTGTGTGTCTGTGTGAGTGTGGCCATACATGTCTCTGTGTATATGTGTCTGTGTGTATATGTATGTGTCTGTGTGAATGAGTGTGTGTAAGTTCCTGTGTTTCTATGTGTGTCTCTGTGTGTACATGTGTGTGTATGAGTGTGTATTAGTTTCTGTGTCTCTGTGTGTGTCTGTGTCTCTGTGTGTGTCTGTGTGTATGTCTATGTGTGTCTGTGTGTGTGTCTCTGTGTGTATATGTGTCTATGTGTATCTGTGTGTGTGTCTCTGTGTGTGTATGAGTGTGTATTAGTTTCTGTGTCTCTGTGTGTCTGTGTGTATATGTGTGTGTCTGTGTGTATGAGTGTGTATTAGTTTCTGTGTCTCCGTGTGTGTGTCTCTGTGTGTACATGTGTGTGCGTGTCCGTGGGACACCACGGTCTGAGGCTCAGCAGTGTCTGGAAGACAAAGTGCCAGCTCCCTGGCGCTTCAGCCACACGGAGGGGGAAGGTCCGGCATGAAGCCCCAGGAAGACCCGCAAGGACAGGCCTCAGATGCACTGGAAACACGGCCGACTCGTCACCGTGACAGGCTCATCCCTCCGCCCTCGCTCCAGCTGTCAGTGTTCTCAACAGGGAAGGACCAAGTCTCACCCTGAAGCCACCCACCCTGAAACCAACCTCACACCACTGTCGTCTCGGCCCAAAAAGAAACTCGGAGCTGACGCCAGGCGAAGGGTCACTGACAGGCCCGTCCAGGTAAGTGGGGCCCCAGGGGGCAGGACAGGAGAAGCATGGGGCCGGGGGGCCCAGGACCGAACAAGCGGGGGGCCGGGCCAGAGCTCCCCCTCACGCTCCTCTCCGGGGGCTCCGAGTCAGTCTGGGACCGGGGCTCGGTGGATCCTCCCCCTGGCTGCCTCGGAACAGGACCATCCTCCATTGGACAGACCCGTGGCCCCTGAGAGGAGAGGCATTGTTCCCTCTGCACAGAAGCAGGCTGAGATAGGAGCCGAGACATCCAGCTAGCACTGCCCTGGGGTGTAAGCTCGGCCATCTGTCTCTCTGCACAGCTCGGGGTCTTTCCATCTCATCAGGGTCCTCAGCTGGGGCCTCAGAAAGCTGGGCAGGGGGACAGGGCGAGGGGAGGGCCCAAGGGTGCGTCCACACCTCCCTGATAGTGTTTGAAGCTCCTGGTTGCTGGGGTGAGGCTTCTCTTCTGACGAGAATGTTTACAGTTGAAAGACATTGTCAAAGCAGAAGGCGCTGAGTTTTCAGCCAGCGTCGCCCGCAAGGGCCCCCACCAGCAGGGGCTTACCCGGGCCTGCCTGGCTCATCCCAGACCCTCAGACCTTGTGAATTCAAGGGGAGAAGGCGGACGATGGCTACAGGTCACAGGACACTCCCCCGTGGGCCGGCCTCGCTGTGGGCTTCACACCCACACCCCTTCCTGAGCAGAGGCTACGGCTGCGCCAGAGGGTTAGCCGCCTTTGTGCAAAGCTGCTGGGTTCATCAGACGCAAGAGACAACTTTTACACAGCTTGGCGTCTCTGGGCAGCTGACTGTCCCATGGCGAAGCCAGTTTATCTGTGCCTTAGCATCCCTTTCAAAAGGCCTGGGTCTGCAGTCGCTGCTCTGCACCAAGGCAGGGGGACAAGCCCTCCTCTCACCGTGAGACTGCAGAAGTCAGGGCTGCTCTGGCCAGCTGGAGGGTCTCCTGTGGGGCGAGGTTCCAGGGGGCCGGGGGAGGGTCTCTGCTCTGTGACCAGCTCCTCCTTCCATCTGTAGCCACAAGGCTGCTCCTTAGGCAGGGTGGCCAGACTGATGTGTGCAATGAGCTTTGTAAAATTTTAACTAAGTTGAAAGATGCCTGGAGGAGAAAGTGGCAACCCAGTCCAGTATTCTTTCCTGGAACATTCCATGGACAGAAGAGCCTGGTGGGCAATAACCCATGGGGTCACAAAAGATTTGGACATGCCTGGACAACTACACTTGCATTCATGCGAGCAGGACCCCCTACTGATAAAAATCTAATGCTTATCTCCGTTCACCCAGCCTCCAGGAGCCTGAATCCACCCACCCCAAACCCGTCCCCTGCCTGTGAAAGAGACCTCTCTCCTGGAGTTTTCCTGCCAGCTCTTACTCTTGATAATCACAGCGGGCGATGCTTCCAGGCACTTCTGGGCTTCCCTGCCTTAGTGGTCTGGGCTGAGAGGGAGAGGCAGCCCCGTGCCCGGGATGGGGGCCAAGCCGTGAGCAGGGGCGCGCCAGGGAGTGAGTGGGCAGCGACCCCCGTGCCCGAGCTGGAGGGCGCCAAGGGGACGCGGGGGCGGAGCGCAGGAGGGGCCCCAGCCCCCCCGGGGAAGCTGGGAGCGGCGCCCGTGCTGTGACTGGTGCGGGTGAGTCAGCAAGACCCAGAGGACAGGTGAGCTCCTGACAGCGAAGAGCAGGCGCCAGTCTCCGGGTCTGGGCGACCAGCGAGAACGGGGAGGGGCGGGGCTGGGAACTTGCCGAGACTCCGCCGCTCAAGGCCGCGGGACGTCCGGGAGGAGCAGGGGACGGTGCGGTTCTCCGGAATGCCGGGAGAAGCCCCGCGGCGAGGAGCTTTTGATAGCGCCCGGGCCACGTTTCCGGAAGGGACGCTTTCACTTAGTCATGATCGCCCTGGAGCAAAAACCGTGTCCTGTGAAGCGGCCCGCCCGCAGGCTGACCCCAGCCTGCGGGGGCCGCTCGGCCGAGAGGGAGATTCGGAAAGCAAGCTCTTGTGGACACTCGCCCGCCAGCGGCCACACTGGAACGGGGACTTTGTGCTACTCATTCAAGATGGTTTCAGGCACTCAAGCCAGACTTGTCCAGCGGTACAGTGTTTCCCCCAAGAACCGCCCTGCGAAGCTGAGAAGTGAGGCGCGATACAAAGTGACGACATCAAGTTTAGACTGGAGACTGGGAGGTACAGCTCAGGACGCTTGGGGCGCGTTTTGCTTGAATTCATCCATCCAGACAGACCCAGGACATGGACACTGACCAGCCGGCGAAGCCTCTAGGATACAGGACTGTGGTGAATGTGTCAGCAAAGGACTCACCTGCACCTGGCTGGGACGTCAGACAGGAAATGCAGCGAATATCTATTGTCACCATATGGCTGCAGACTGCCTGCCACCTCATCCACATCCCCCTTCCTCGTGGTCTGTCTGCGGGGGCCCGGGAGGCCTCCATGCCCACCCCTGTGCAGGTAGCCATGGCTTCCTCCCCTGGAATGACCCTCTTCCTCCTTGCGCTCTGGAAACTTCCACCATCTTTCCAGACCCACCTCTTTTCAGGTCTCCCTTCCTTGCCTCCCACCCTTCCTGGTACCCCCAACCCCACCCATGCCTTTGGAGTTCCCCAGTCTTTCCCCGTCTACGGGGCAAGGTAGGTCCCTCTTCAGCCTCAACCACTGTAGTGGAAAACGACAGACCTGAGAAAACAGGGCAGCAGCCCTCCCTCACTGTGGGACTCACCCCAGTGGACTCCTGTTTCTCCTCTGCCCTCCAGGCTGTCTGTTCGGGAAGGTGGAGACCTCCTCCCACTCCCAACATCCTTAGTGCATTTTCCCTTCTCTTCCTTTTATTTCATTTTTTTTTTGTTGTTAAAATTTCATCTGTGAGCCAGCGGCACTGAACCTCAAGTGAAGGAGTGAAGCATGCGGAGGTGTTTCAGAGCCTGGAGCACTCACTGCAGCTTGAAGCTTGTCAAGAGAGATGCAGATCTTTGAAAAACCAGAGAAGCTACAGACTTTCTATCATGCTTGCTAAGTCCCTTCAGTCATGTGTGATTCTTCATGACCCCATGGACTGTAGCCTGCCAGGCTCCTCTGTCCATGGGATTCTCCAGGCAAGAATACTGGAGTGGGTTGCCATTTCCTCCTCCAGGGGATCTTCCTGACCCAGGGATTGGAACCTGTGTCTCTTATGTCTCCAACATTGGAAGGCGGGTTCTTTACCACTAGCGCCACCTGGGAAGCCCGTCTATCATTATAGATTTACCCTTAAAACTAAACCTAGAAAACCCAAGGAACAGTGCTGTCCTTCTGCTGAAGGCAAGTCCCCCATGGACCGGCCTGGGAGGGACCACAGCAGCTACAGGACTTTGTGGGTCCCTGACCGATAGAGAGGACCCTGTGTCCCCAGAGGCCCCATCATAATGCTATTTGCAGGCTTGGACTGCCACCTACTGGAAGCAAGCAGAAAGAAGACAAAAGGAAAGCAGGTTCTGCCCAGAGAATCTTCCACTCTAGGCCTTTTGTCCTTGGAAACCTGGCACCAGGTGACAAGTGCACACGTCAGGACTTGTGGGATGGGGCTGGGGCCCGGTTTAGAGCTCAGAGAGCGGCTACACGTTTGACTTAGCCCAAACACTAGGTCACAGGACCAACCGAGCACGAAGAACCCATGAGGAAACTGATGGCTGAATAACCTTGTCACATGAGGAACTATCACAAATGACACAAACACGTGTCCTCATAAAACCTAAGCGCAGACTTACACGTGTCTTTAGCCTCAGCAGTTTCTCATTATATGGTGGCCTTTTGTAACCTACTGAGGTGTTTTAAGTACCCTTGGAAATAGGATCCAAGTGGCACAGTTTACAAAATTCACAGCAAGCACCTCCTCGACCCTGAGATTGAGTTCTGGTGGGGGGGGGGGGGGGTAGGTATGACAATGATGGCGCTGGCCACAGTGGCGGCTGTTTGTGAGAACTCAGTGTATCACTTCCTTGGAAGCTCTAACACAACCAAGGGGCTGGTGCTGGGGTTATCTCCATTCTGTAAGTGAGATTGTTGAGTCACTAAGTCCTGTCCGACTCTCAGACCCCATGGACTGCAGCACGCCAGGCCTCCCTGTCTTCACCAACTGCCAGAGCTTGTTTAAACTCATGTCCATCGAGTCGGTGATGCCATCCAACCATCTCATCCTCCGTTGTCCCCTTCTCCTCCTGCCTTCAATCTTTCCCAGCATCAGGGTCTTTTCAAATGAGTTAGCTCTTCGCATCAGGTGGCCAAAGTATTGGAACTTCAGCTTCAGCATCAGTCCCTCCAATGAATATCGGGGTTGATTTCCTTTAGGACTCACTGGGTTGATCTCCTTGCTGTTCAAGGGACTCTCAAGAGTCTTCTCCTCTACAGGTGAGGAAATAGGCATAAAGGAACTAAGAAGCTTCCCGAGGGTCCCCCACACCCGGAAGTGGCAGAAAGTGACTCTCCACTTTGGCTAAGTTTAATCCTGGAGCAATTTATACTTTTCACAGGTGTGTGAATCTGAGAATCACGGATGTTCCCAATCTGATCCAACACTTTGGGAGATACTTTCTTTCCCAAAGGAAGACAACTTGCAGAATGCATCCCCAAATCAAATACAGGAGATGCTTACCTGTGCTGTTTAGGTGAGACACACATTGCTCTTCATCTCGGAGGTGCTTGAAGTCCAGTCAAGAGCTCTCCCTGGATTCACAGCACAGCCCAGCCCTGCATCTCTGACCCCCACCCCTTCCTGATCTCTGAGCCCCACTCCTTCCCTGATGTCTGACCCCCGCCCCTTCCCTGACCTCTGATCCCCACCCTTCCCTGACCTCTGACTCTCACCCCTTCCCTGACCTCTGAACCCCCAGTTCTTCCCTGACCTCTGACCCCCACCCCTTCCTGATCTCTGACCCACACCCCTTCCCTGATCTCTGACCCCCACCTCTTCCTGATCTCTGACCCCCACCCCTTCCTGATCTCTGACCCCCACCTCTTCCTGATCTCTGATCCACACCCCTTCCTGATCTCTGACCCCCACCTCTTCCTGATCTCTGATCCACACCCCTTCCCTGATCTCTGACCCCCACCTCTTCCTGATCTCTGACCCACACCCCTTCCTGATCTCTGACCCACACCCCTTCCCTGATCTCTGACCCCCCTCCTTCCTGATCTCTGACCCACACCCCTTCCTGATCTCTGACCCCCACCCCTTCCTGATCTCTGACCCCCACCCCTTCCTGATCTCTGACCCCCCTCCTTCCTGATCTCTGACCCCCCTCCTTCCTGATCTCTGACCCCCACCCCTTCCTGATCTCTGACCCCCACCCATTCCTGATCTCTGACCCCCCTCCTTCCTGATCTCTGACCCCCCTCCTTCCTGATCTCTGACCCCCACCCCTTCCTGATCTCTGACCCCCACCCATTCCTGATCTCTGACCCCCACCCCTTCCTGATCTCTGACCCCCACCCATTCCTGATCTCTGACCCCCACCCATTCCTGATCTCTGACCCACACCCCTTCCCTGATCTCTGACCCCCCTCCTTCCTGATCTCTGACCCACACCCCTTCCTGATCTCTGACCCCCACCCCTTCCTGATCTCTGACCCCCACCCCTTCCTGATCTCTGACCCCCCTCCTTCCTGATCTCTGACCCCCCTCCTTCCTGATCTCTGATCCCCACCCCTTCCTGATCTCTGACCCCCACCCATTCCTGATCTCTGACCCCCACCCCTTCCTGATCTCTGACCCCCACCCCTTGCTGATCTCTGACCCTCACCCCTTCCTGATCTCTGACCCCCACCCATTCCTGATCTCTGACCCCCACCCCTTCCTGATCTCTGACCCCCACCCCTTCCTGATCTCTGACCCCCACCCCTTCCTGATCTCTGACCCCCCTCCTTCCTGATCTCTGACCCCCCTCCTTCCTGATCTCTGATCCCCACCCCTTCCTGATCTCTGACCCCCACCCATTCCTGATCTCTGACCCCCACCCCTTCCTGATCTCTGACCCCCACCCCTTGCTGATCTCTGACCCTCACCCCTTCCTGATCTCTGACCCCCCTCCTTCCTGATCTCTGATCCACACCCCTTCCTGATCTCTGACCCCCACCCCTTCCTGATCTCTGACCCCCACCCATTCCTGATCTCTGACCCCCACCCCTTCCTGATCTCTGACCCCCACTCCTTCCTGATCTCTGACCCCCACCCCTTCCTGATCTCTGACCCCCCTCCTTCCTGATCTCTGACCCCCACCCCTTCCCTGATCTCTGACCCCCCTCCTTCCTGATCTCTGACCCCCCACCCCTTCCTGATCTCTGACCCACACCCCTTCCTGATCTCTGACCCCCACCCCTTCCTGATCTCTGACCCCCACCCATTCCTGATCTCTGACCCCCACCCCTTCCCTGATCTCTGACCCCCCTCCTTCCTGATCTCTGACCCACACCCCTTCCTGATCTCTGACCCCCACCCCTTCCTGATCTCTGACCCCCACCCCTTCCTGATCTCTGACCCCCCTCCTTCCTGATCTCTGACCCCCCTCCTTCCTGATCTCTGATCCCCACCCCTTCCTGATCTCTGACCCCCACCCCTTCCTGATCTCTGACCCACACCCCTTCCTGATCTCTGACCCCCACCCCTTCCTGATCTCTGACCCCCACCCCTTCCTGATCTCTGACCCCCCTCCTTCCTGATCTCTGACCCCCCTCCTTCCTGATCTCTGATCCCCACCCCTTCCTGATCTCTGACCCCCACCCATTCCTGATCTCTGACCCCCACCCCTTCCTGATCTCTGACCCCCACCCCTTGCTGATCTCTGACCCTCACCCCTTCCTGATCTCTGACCCCCCTCCTTCCTGATCTCTGACCCCCACTCCTTCCTGATCTCTGACCCCCACCCCTTCCTGATCTCTGACCCCCACTCCTTCCTGATCTCTGACCCCCACCCCTTCCTGATCTCTGACCCCCCTCCTTCCTGATCTCTGACCCCCACCCCTTCCTGATCTCTGACCCCCACCCCTTCCTGATCTCTGACCCCCCTCCTTCCTGATCTCTGACCCCCCTCCTTCCTGATCTCTGACCCTCACCCCTTCCTGATCTCTGACCCCCACCCCTTGCTGATCTCTGACCCCCACCCCTTCCTGATCTCTGACCCCCACCCCTTCCTGATCTCTGACCCCCCTCCTTCCTGATCTCTGACCCCCCTCCTTCCTGATCTCTGACCCTCACCCCTTCCTGATCTCTGACCCCCACCCCTTCCTGATCTCTGACCCACACCCCTTCCTGATCTCTGACCCCCACCCCTTCCTGATCTCTGACCCCCCTCCTTCCTGATCTCTGACCCACACCCCTTCCCTGATCTCTGACCCCCCTCCTTCCTGATCTCTGACCCCCACCCATTCCTGATCTCTGACCCCCACCCCTTCCTGATCTCTGACCCCCCTCCTTCCTGATCTCTGATCCACACCCCTTCCTGATCTCTGACCCCCACCCCTTCCTGATCTCTGACCCCCACCCATTCCTGATCCCTGACCCCCACCCCTTCCTGATCTCTGACCCCCACTCCTTCCTGATCTCTGACCCCCACCCCTTCCTGATCTCTGACCCCCCTCCTTCCTGATCTCTGACCCCCACCCCT